TTAGTGCCACACGGAATTCCAAGGGATACGTTTAAGGATTGTATACCACGCACCCTGGTGAGAGGTTCGGGCGTGAAGCGCAATCTACAGGATGAGGACTGTTCAGTTTCCCGTTAAAGTCAAATTGGTGTGCAAATGAGTGCAGTTTGTAAGTACAGTGTTGTTTGTACAATCCAGATAGACGAGGCTCTCAGCCATAACGACTGGAACCTTGGGGTGTTGAAAACCACTCAATATCCGTCTCGTTGCCTTATCAGTTACAGAAGTGGAATGATGAACATTGACGTTGAGAGTTTTCGGATAGACCTGCGTGCATTTGCCACGACCGTGAGTATGCCAAAGATCTGTGATATAAAAAAACTGTCGTGCACAATTCAACCAAATAACAGAGTTTACATGTGATCAGCGTTGTAAGTGGTTTAAGACCACTCTTGTTGAAACGCATCCGCCTGTTTTGATAACAGACCATTCTCTTTGACTCAGCTACGTTCACCAAAGCTTGCAGGGTCATACGCAAACATGTCCATTTCAGTGCCGCCAGAGTGATGATCAAGGGTTGCGACCCAACACTAGACGTGTCAATACCATCTTCCGTTTACATCAAACTAATGACCGTACCAGTTCCGTTATTTCACCTGACTCTGTCAGTGACGAAGTCTTGACAACAGAGTGGCGTACTACGATTGTTATCGTATCAGCATATTTCCATTAAACATGTAGATACACCTCATCTGTACGCTCAACCCTGCAACTGCATTGGTGAGAGAAACTCCGACAGGGGAGGGAGAAACCTGACCATCCTAAGAGCTAGGTTACTAGGTCAACGATGGCTAAGTGAAAAAGCGTATATCTCACAGCCAAGTGACTGAATGCTGTTGGGGTTACTCCATTTAGGTCAAGTTTTATTTTTTCAAAGACCTTAGCAACAAACCAGAAAAAACCCACATAAGCAAAAGTGGGTGATGCGCTTCAGGTCGACCGAGAATTTTAACAACGGGGTTACGGGTCCTCCAGAGCTGATGGACCAGGCTTCCAAACGCAACGAAAGTTTGCCAACTATCAAATAAAGTCTGGACAGTTTGATAAAACACCACGAGCTGAACGGAACCATACTTGGGTCTGACGACAACGGTGGCAAACAGAACAAAGGATAGGGATGGGTAGTTGGTTGCCGAAAGTTAAACCCCGATGAACACATCAAACAGATTTAAAACGCTCATCTGTTACCTTAACAACACACCAGGTCTCCTGGGATTGTCTAAGAGTTGACACTGACACCCACCTGGATGTATTTCCGATGTCATATGACTGTTAGTCTGACAGCGGCGAGTCTCTGCACATCAAAAGTTTCATCCATACTGCATACTAAAGCGTCTGATATCCATTCTACAAATGATCTATCTTCGCTTGGATTAAAAATTTATGGGTATTCTACCCAGAACGCGTTTTGTCACTACAGCGGAAATCCCAGAGACTTTGTCACACGGTAAAAGTCACTCGGACGAGACCACTCGAAAAACGTGTTCGCAAATGGTAATGTCTACTAATCATAGTACACATTTACGTCTATTATTTGATTTCAGAGGAGAAAGGTGCTGGCTAATAGCATAGGGAATGGTGAGGGTCCATCTGGGGAAACGACTAGAAGGGGCCACTTTAGATGGATCGCCCTGCAGAGAGGCTGTTTCACTGTGAAATCACACGTGATATTGCGTGGTGTCAGAGATGTGTCAGACTACTGAAAAATTTGCCACAAAATCTTACGAAGAGCCACTTTCTGGCACCGATAAGTTTTAGTACACGGGCACTCGGTATTATGTGTAGTGTGACGACATTATTCAACTCACTGAACAAATCTCATATCTCTTTTAGAAATAAGAATGTAACAAGGAGTCCCGCTGCTGAAAACTGGGGCAGTAGCGTATAGTGCATAACAAGTGCATAACAAGCAAGGACCCTCCACCACCAAAAAATGGGAATCTTCTCACCAAGGATGAGAGATGTGAATTTCCCCAAAAGCAAGGACTCTCCACCACCAAAAAATGGGAATCTTCTCAAGCAGATTTACTGCAGTTGTGTACACTTCTTCCAATCGGACCACGATGCTTGTCCATTCAATATTCATGAGAGTGCGCAAACCATCGAATTAAAATCGACCTCAGGAACATCCTTAGCTGAATCTTAAGAAAGCCGTAATGTGAAACTTGAAAGTGTTGAGCTAAATTGAAAGGTAACTGCCATTCGGTTACCCCTGTTGGACAGGGTGTGGTCCCAGATAAATTTGCCTGTCCCTATCGGAATAAGTGCTTCGTGAATGATTTCCATAGCCAGGTTTGAAAGACTACTACTAGACTTCCTACAAAACTACTGTGACAATTTTGCGTAAAACTGCCTGACAAAATTGCGAATTGGATGTGTTCTTTTCTGACTCAAATCATCAATCGGGGACAGTTCAGTGCTGAGGGGCAACCATACTAACCAGAATGTTCGTGATTCGAAATCAATTCTGGCTTTTCGAATCGTTCAGCTGCAGCATCCTTTCGGTGCCTAACTGCCATGCACGAGGGCTGGGATACTGCCAGGTTGCCCAAGCCTAGACAGGGGAAGTCGAGAGGCAGAGGTCGGGTTCGAACCACGAACCTTCCGGTCAGTAAATCCGCGCTCTAACCACTTGGCTTTTCGAATAGTCCTGCGCAGGCCTGAGTAACCTGACCTTATCTCAACCCTCATGTTTCTTCGGTACGGTAGCTGAGATTAGGATGGGTGCCACAGCCAAGTGATTTTTCCATCCAAATCACACAAAACACTCAAAGAACTTCTCGTATACAGTTCAGTAAAAAGCAGCCTTTCGGCTGGACGAACGATGCAAGTAAAATCATTGACAGGTTATTCGAAAATCGGCATCCGTCATGGAGACCACTTTCATAAAGTCTACATCAATTAGGCTCGAGAGTGCTTCACTGGTGCTTTGTTCGTGCTGCGGTTACGTCTGTTATTCTGATCGAAATTGCATTTGCGTACAATTCCACTTTGAAGCTAATAGGATTTCTGGAATTTGCAGTGCCTTAAATGCCTTTCTGGCGGCTTCAACAATTCAGACATTCGCATAAACCTTTTCGTATGAGATTGGACGCGTGCTGATAAGTTGGATGAAGACCTCTACGGTTGGAGGAATGTGGCGACGCATTCACGTCACACAGCTCTTTTGGCAAACAACCTACGTCCGAGGTCTTTGAGCACTACTCAACCTATACAATAGTGACCAAATTGATGCATACATGATGAATACATAACTGTGAGCCGATATAATGTAAAACAGTACCGCCCCTCACTGTCCAAAACGTCATACACCGAAAACGAAGGGGTGAAAGTGGTGCAGCTCACCCTGGCAATTTTCATCTAGTCGAGATATCGTTATACATATTTGGTTAACAAGTGTTCACTGAATCAATGACGTACTTGGGAAGCGAGATGGTTCAAGCGGTTAGAGCGCGAATTTACTGACCGGAAGGTTCGTGGTTCGAACCCGAACTTTGCCTCTCAACTTCCCCTGTCTATGCTTGGGCAACCAGCCCACCCCTCGTGCTTCCTTCGAGTGGCATGGCAGCTAGGCATCGGAAGGGTGTTACAACTGAACCCATCAATCACGTATCGGTAGATAAACAGCCGAATGTCGACTAACGGGTGCACTGGTTTAATGGGTCAGCATCTAGTTGACAGAGAGCACGGGCAATGAAAAGACATTCTTCAAGGTTCCGTATGATAACCTAGGGCGCCTTTAGCGAGGAAAGAAGTTTGACACAAACAATGTGAATAAATGGAGTTTCGGCAAAAAAATTTTCATTTCAATATTAAAAAAAACATAATAAATCGTTCAGCCGTAAAATCCTTTCGGTTCCTAGCTGCCACGACATCCGAAGAAAGCACGGGAGTCGGGATACCGTTTACAGCAAGCTCCAGCTTCTCCGACAAAATCAAGGTTACCTAATCAAATGAGAACTACAGTTGCACCTCACCTTTACCAGGTCCAAAATACTTACTGTAAACTGTTGGACACACTTCGCCCTTCATGCGTTCAAGCTAGACTACGATCCAGCGTTAGGTGAGTCTCTTCAAGCAGCTTTAAAAGAATTCAACCGTTATTACTCTGCGCGCAAAAAAAGGTTTGCTGTAATTTTCTTCGTCACTGTGGTTTTCGGCGATATTTTGCAAAATTCCGTGTTGCGTAGGAAATACAAGCTATTTCTGGTATGTCCTGAAGGGGCTCGTTGACCGCACAATACTCTTGGCTGCAAAACCTTTGCGAGTGGAGCAAAACTTGTTACGCCAAAATGTGCTCAAACCAAAAACCACCTCAATCACACCTCCGGTGGAAAAATCCTGGTGGATTACTTTCCTAGCATCACTAGGACTCTGAGATGCCTAGATGGGGCTCATAAGTTTGGACTGGCAATCTAAACTCAATGGTTTGTCTGTTTTAGTCCATCAGGGACACGTCGTAGCTTACGAAAATTCAATTGCATTGTGCGAATACTGAGCGCCGTCTTGAATGGATCTGGAAGTTTCACTACCATCATCTTGTACCAGTTGCTATGGCAATGTGAAACACCTTCAAAATGTGCTACTCCTGACAGAGTTGGTCGAAGTTCTTGCTGAGAGCTTTTGAACCTAGTCGGCGTAGTGACAATTCTCGCAATAGTGCATTCAGAACGTTACTTGTGATCTAGGATCAAACAGACCCCTTTTTGGTCCTTCAACACCACATCTTGCGAGTATAAACTTCAGTAGATGCACTGACAAGCGTTGGCGTATTCTTGATCGAAAACTGTTGAAAACAGATCAGTATGAAATAAATTTAGTCAAAAGCCAGGCTAACTTTCTAAGCCGAGCGAGCCGTCAGAACGGGAGGCAAGGCTAATTCAAGGCCAAATTTTACGCGAATGAACCAACCTACTCAAGATGTTAGGTTTAGCTATTGCAGAGAGGTGGAGTGAGGAAAAATGCGACATTCCTACTCGGTCCCCAAAAACCCTGGATTCAGTGTGCATAATAAAGAAGACCCGCCGTTTCGCCTATACGACTGTCTTGTGTACGGGTTGGGGGATATTTGGAGTTATTTGCGAACAGAAAACCTTCACTCAACCGGACACGTCGAATTGAGGAAACCATCCATGATTTGTGCTAAAATCAATCGCTACAGTCGAATCCGTCAATGGCACCTAAGGTCATTGGACACGCTGGTTATCCATGCGGAGCAGATGGATACAAGGCCTGAGCGAGTCCCGACAAACGAAGAGGTTGTGAGTGCAATTGGTGAAGGACCGCATTCACCGAACATTTCAACACCCAGTGCACAATAGCTTTACCCTCCCCCAAACTGAGCATACTGAAGATGTTAGTTTCAGGTTGAAAGGTCACGATTCATTACGTAGAAAACTGCCTCGACTTGAAGACTTTCTAGGAGACGCGAATTATATGTGACCTAGAAATATTCGGTTTCCGTTAACGAAAAAAAAACAACCCAACAGGGCTATCTCGGAACCACGTATACATGAAATTTCCTGCTGCTGACATAAAAACAGGGTTAGCATCGAGCATCTTATGATTTGCGCACTAACATGGACATAAAAACCTGAGAACAGCACAAGATGTAGAAATCTCAGAGTGATGTACGCATCCATCTAGCTGGTTATTCATTCTCTTGTTGCGAGGGGATCTTCCTGATGTAAAAAAACCGATTAGACTGAAAAAGAGAATGGGCCTGGGCAGGCTTTGCGGTTTGCGCCACAATCAGATGATACAGGTGCGAAAACAGAACTCAGGAGCAAAATAGAAATCATCAACAACTCACCAATGGATCCGGGATGCAGGCCAGACGGTAGGCACAAACTCAGGTCGAGCGGGGTTTCGAAAAGCGAGAAAGGTTGATCCAAGTTTCTGCCACCTGGGACGGAATTGACTCCGGCCAGTTTCAGCAAAGCGCTTGTACGTTCCAACACCGAAGCTTGATTGATTATGGCAGCAGGAGCACTGGGCACCACGGGAACTCCTCCAGTCCCGGCTCCAGTTCCGTTGGATCCACATCGTTCGGAAGGAAGATTCAGATGCGTAGGCGGTAAAAGTAGCGCTTGCTGGAGCAGCCAGGCAGCCGCTGCAGTACTATTCACTGGAGTGGGGTCCACAACTGTGGAAGCGTTCAAGCTGGGCGGTACGGCTTGAACGTGGCCGTTGGATGACTTCGGTGATATTAGTTCAGGTTCGTTTGTCACGGAATTTGTCGTTGAGTTGGGTGCAACTTCGTTTTTAAGCCCACCAGCAGTCAGAGTAGCAAATATACGCTTCAGGGCCATTAGGTCAGTAGTGTTCAGAGTACTTATTGGTGGTAGTTCAGTTTTAGTTGGGAATTGGTTGGCCGTAGGTGAGGTACTCAGAGCTGAGTAAATCGCAGTCATGGAATCACTGGCATCTGGGGAGCTCGATTTCCCGGTGAAATGTCCATCATTAAGGGTCTCAGGATGCGGGCCGTTGGTAAAATGGGGAGTGAGGGTCTCGGAGCAAGTACTGACCGATAATGCGTCGTTCAGTTGTTCCGGATGACCGGGTTCGTCAAACTGTGTTCCGTTGATTGAGTCCGTTTCATTTTCACGTTGACAGTTGCTCATATCACACAGTGACTGTCTGATTTTTCCATTATTGGGATGAGTTGTCGATGTCTGCGGAGTCAGATTGGAGAACGGGGTTGTACTATTGTCCGTCGCACCACCATCGTTGTAATCAACCTCATCCACAGGTAGACCGAATCGGATTTTTAGCTCCAAAATCTCATGTCGTAATTTGGTATTCTGTGCAGTTAAAATATTAATTCGATGTTCCATCAAAATGTCATTTTGTCTGCGCTTTTCCCGCGAACGTTTGGCTGCCTCGTTATTCTTTCTTCTTCGCTCCCAGTACTTATCATCCTTTTTAGAATCGGGGATGAATTCACGTTGTTTTCGATCCCTTTCCGATGTTGTGTATGATCCGTAAGATGCTTCGAAATCCGCGGCATCGAATTCACCAGTTGCCGTTTTCTGAGCATTACTCATTCCGTACTGTGCAATTGAATTAGCATTGTGTGACGGTTGGAAGGGGGATTGAGTTGATCCGGTTTCAGATGAGACATCGGAACAAGTCTGTTGTTGTGGGGGAAAAGAGAGACCAAATTGCGTCTGATTAGCTTCGGTCGTGTACGAGGAAGGAGTAGCTATGTGTAATGGGCTAATATTGTTAGTCTGGCCATTATTCACAGACGCTAACACAGCGGCTTTGATGGCATTAGCAGCCACACTTGACGTGGATGAAGAGTTAAAAAGTACTGTGTTTTTAGACGAACTGAACAGATCGGAATCGGGTAGCACACACCCCATCGCTGAAGTTCTAATATCGACAGGCCCTGTCATAGAACTACCAGTCGAGCCGGGTCCGTTACTGGATGGAAACGACAATCCCAAAATCCCAGCGATTGCTGATGCTAGTGAAAATCCACCATTGCCGGTGATTCCGGAATTAACGGATCCGTTGATGTGGGCAGCAACTGATGATGTGGACAAGCTGGATCTAATATTAGACCCAGCCATCAGTGGTTGTTCCATCCGATGTGAGGAAGACGTCTGACCGTGTGCTTGTCTTTGACTTGGGTGGTGTGATCTGGCTGTAGGGACAATCACCGTTGGGTGTACAACGGACGGTTTTTCCGTGCGCAACGTTGCCATCTGAGCCACTATGGATGTGTGTGGTTCAGTCACAATAGGAAGGATTGATACACAACTAAAAGCCGATGATCTCCGGACAATGGGAATTGCTAACCACCCAGATTTCACATAAAAGTGGGACTAATTCGTCCAATCAAACGGGTTGAGCCAGGGCAGTAAGGCGAGTGCTCTGGTGCAGTTATACTGAACGCAAACAGTCAGCCGCACGGTCATCCTGCAGATGCTTACGAGTGACGATTATGGTGATCGGTTGAGTCTGACAGTGTATGGGTGCGTAGGCATAGGCGCACTAACACATACGCTCGCACGGGTCACATGGGTCCGCGTGACCGTTGGCAAGCTAGCGAATGCATGCAGACAAGGGAGTACGCGCGCACCCCATAGTCCTGTGCACCCTTGAATCAACCACACATCGCATCGCACGCGCACGCATATCATTCTAGGGTGGACATATGGCCGTAGTGACGGTAAGACCAAGGCTGGACTACAACATACAGTGATGGCAAGTGGTGCATGGTAGAGGGCAGATGACAGATTGCTAGGACTGCATCGAAAGACACACAACCGTCGTATGTCTGACCGACAGAAGTGGAGGTGGAGGAGACGCCACAGTCAGTGAGGCCGCTTAGAGAGACTATCCAACTGACGTGTGATTGGACAATATCATCGTGACGAAGACAGTGGTAGTAATGGCCATCATCAACCATAGTGTGCGATGGCGCACCAGCTGATGACGAGAGCTGTTTTTTGGTCCTTTACGATGGGGGTGCGCACTCACTCATGCGTGCATGCATTTCTACCTGCGTTCACGCTAGTATGCATATCTAAGTCAACCTCAGTGTGCCGGGTGTTGTGTCCGGGACTGCGGACCGTCCACACAGTTGCGCTAGCACAACCGTACACGTTAACAATACCCACGTCATTAGTGAACGAGAAGCGAAAGCAAGTGTTGGCAGACTGTACACGATGGTCAGGACTGGCTGACTGGCACTGAGAAAAACTTGGTCACACACAGAGACGATGCATGCACGTCACCAGCTACCTATTTTAGGTATGCAGAATATCAACTCGACATCCGAGATAGCATGACAATGACGGCGGCCTTGTGCACGATACATTAGAAAACACCCGCGAAGGCTTTCTGTTGAAACGATCACTACCACCCTCACAATCGGCAGCAGCAGCAACAGCGTACCATTGTGTGCAGACAGAGTAATATGTTCGTACCCTCGATGTTCTAAAAAAACGACCCCCTGAAGTAGTATGTGTTGTGCGTGGTCGCCATGCGCAATGATGACAGCGTACGACTCACAGGGGTTAGAAATGATGTGCGACTAATTGCAGGTCAGTCAGTGAAAACTTGAGGTGAACGTACTAAGTCAACTTGAGTAGTCCACAACAACAAAGACAACAAAGACCACAACAACAGTGAAAGTGATGCCAAACAATATAACGCCGATAAATTATGGCCATTAACAGGGAAGCATTTGAACTATCATTCCAGTTGGCTGACTGTTCTATCTGACTAAAAGTGTGTATCTAGGATTTCAAAGATAACAGAAACAGTGCATATCCTGGGACAGTTTTCTTTACTAGTATCAAATGTGCCTCGGATAATGTGGGTTGTTTTCTCATTGGGGGGATCTGCTTTTCACATCGTGTTCAAGACACTGTTCCTGCAGCCGAACTCTGACTGGTCGAGGTATGGTACTTCCCATAAAAAGTTCATTGAAAGAACTCACAAAAACCCGAAAGCTAATCTGTCAAGTTGAAACGGAAACAAGTGAATGAATCAATGCAACGCATCGTTCAGTAGCAAGCGTGTGAATGCATTTTGAAATGGGGGATCATTTGAGTGCACCAAGCGCAGATATCTCTCTTAATGGTCACAAAAAGTATTTTCCGAAGACCCACTGATGCACAGTGGCACGTTTTTATCTCTGCAATTTTAGATTGTCTGGGTATTGATTGAACGAAGACTTAACTGCCAATGAAACGACTTTTAAGACTGGGCGCACAATTTTGACTGTTCAATACGCATCATTTTCAGAGTTCCTATGAAGTGTGAGTAGTGAAATGGATGGAGCAGAATTTCTCGCTATTGCCATCCCCCAGATGTCCAATAGTTTCTAAGCTGATGACTTTGCTCTCTAGGATGGAACTTCACAATGGTAGTGCTCTTCGCTTACGACTTTCCCCAGTAACAACTTAGGTCACCGATGAGGCCACTATATCAGTGGGCATTTCAGGACTTGGCTTGGCCGGTAAAGGTCACACTGTTGCAAAAGACACTGAAGCTGAAAACAGAATTTTTAGGTCTTAGCACATCTTTACCATACGACCATCCTAAAGATTTAACTTTTTATGTTCTCTATGCCTATTACTGTATGCCTATTACAAGGATGGTGTGCCCGGAGCACTCACTCCGAACTAAACCGGGCATCCCGAAGAAGCTATCGAATCTAGGTTAGTCAAATACAGAAGTCCACCTCCCAAGAAGTAGCATTCTCTCATAGGTGGTGACTTGCAGAGCATCTAGCAGTGATATGATAGTTGATCTGAGATTTGGAGTTTCACGTCAACAACACAAATGAGAACTCCACAACGCACATGCTCTTCAAATACCTCACGCCCCTGAGAAATGGGCTAACTCCGGATGACCTGCTGTGTGGCTGACTTGCACTGACAACAGTTTAGCATTCAAACGGAGCTGGATCAAAACCAACAGTCGGCGAACTAACTACCTACCTGTATAGGCTCATAAATACACACAGACACGCACACCTCTTTAATTAGCTAACTGTTAAGCTACAATACGCTACTTAGATATACAGTACGTGACCTGAAATGGTATTAATGTGAGTACTCTAGTGTGCATGCCGTCATAAGCCGCCTTACCGACTGCCAACCCAATTAGGAACACATCCGTACCCAGCTTGAGAACCTTATTCACTCCGAATGCCCAGCAAAAACTCTTGGACAGTCTGCTTCCAGTTTCACCTTTTTAAAGGTGCTCGTCAGCCTAGTCCCCACATTTCCATCAATCTTAGTTCGCAATTAAATGGGGACAAACAACTGCAAACCAAAGTGGTTTCAAGGGAGGTTCAATTGGGGTTGCAAATGAATCTCCTGTTTGTACCGAAGAAATTACTCCGATGAAGTGAATACTGTTCTAACTGAATCATGAGAAGCAGCTGTGTAGCGAGTCCTGTTGATGAATACTGAGTCTGCTAGAGGTCCATTTTGCTGCCACGTGACAGTTACCGTGCAGGAAGTCTTGTTCAGTAACTAAACCGAATCTAGCTAAATCTCTCGTTTTATGATGATCCGCTTCAACTGAGTGTGGTGCACAAAGGTTACCCCATGTTTTACCTGGAGCGGTATTCGAAATATCGCAAATCTCTCGTTTATGATGATCCGCTTCAACTAACTGAGGGGCACAAAGGTTACCCCATGTTTTACCTGGAGCGGTATTCGAAATATCGCAATACGTGGTTGTCTAAACGTAACATGTCACTCATAAGGTGTTGAAAACCACTCGATAGCGCACGATCGGTTTCGTCCTTGCTCGGAACTCATCAGGTGGGCGCAATCCTTAAGTTTCTGTCGAACCTATGTTCCAACAGAACCCAAATTGTACAGGTTTCGACAAATAGTTTCAATTGTACACGAACTTAATTTTGAAAGGAGACTTAACTGAATCTCAGTAGTGTGTAACGTCTACACAACAAAGTATTGCGATTTCCCGAATATCGTACCAATTAAAAAACGAGGCAACTTGGTGCACCACATTCAGCTGAAGCGGACCGTCACAAACGACGGATTCAGCTGGATTCAGTTGAATGGCCTGTTGAAACCACATTCGTGTACAAACGAGAGTATTAGTCGAGATATTATTTACAGTTTTCTCAAGTTAACAACGACCTGCTCTCAACTGTCAAAAATGACATAATACTGTCTAGCCCTATTAGGCCCACTCACCAGTCTAACGCCATTATCTACACTACTTCCACTTCCACTGAAGAAATTGCAACTTCAAGAGCATAAATAATCAGCTCAAGAGCAACTACAATCACCTAAAGAGAAGGAAACCTTATCACGCTGCGGTTACCCATGGTTCATTTTGAGTGATGCTCGTCCGCCATGTGAAACAAACCACTGAGACTACGTTCAAATGTCTTGTTTTCAAGCATAGTACACACAAGCCAATCGCATGAGAATAGGGAAGTCAGTGCGAACAAAAACAACTATGTCTGTACAGTCGCAGAGGTTGATCTGTACCAGCTCACTGCGGATGAACAGCACTCAAACGTCGGGCATGACTTAGGAACGTTTAATTGGTGGCTGTTCTGGGCAGAACAAAACAACAAAGCAGGTGCCCGATGGGTCAAGTGAAAGTGAAAACAAAAGCAGACTAATTAGATGCTGGATCGACTATACTTACAACAGCCATAGCGCTAGAGGGCCGAAAGCCCTCATGTATAAAGCGGAGACACTATGCATGCATACGCAGCCTTGGTCGAATCGTCCGATGAGTGCGACTCGCGTGGTTCGCGTAGCCACTGTGGGATAGGTGCGTACTTGCTTCTTCATCTTCGTCACGCCAACTCTTAGTTCAATAACAGAATAGTCGTATGATCGTAAGATCGAAATCAATCGAGATGTCTATATTTACATACAATCCTTCAGAGAGGAACTGAACTATTCAAATACTGAAAATGAAAATGTTGAAACGGCTGTTGAAATTAGAGAACTTGCTCGTAGGAAGTCTGGCTGATTAGAGCTTGTGACGAATAACCAGCATCGTTGGACTGTTTGCAACTTGGTACATACAACTTTTGAAGTGTGCAACAAATGCACTCATTTGTATATCACTTTGGTTTTGACGAGAGATTCACCTGGTACCCAACTGAATCTCTCATTTATGATGTATGTTTCTTATTCCTTTCGTCAACCGATTGGCATCTGACAGTCATGTTCTCCAGCGAGAGCTTCGATTCAATTCATCTTCAGCTGCAGATGCAGCTACAGACCCCCCTGTTTTGAATGGCCTTCGGAATATCCGCTGTACCTTAGCTACATGGGAGCCATCACCCAGGCCAACAGGGTGAGTCTAATCAGTACCGAATGAGATAGTCGCACTTGTCTCCAACCCTAGTATATTAACTGGAAGAGCTTGTGCGCACACACCACCCATTTCCTTTGGGTCTCCCGTTAAAACCAAATTGATGTGCAAATGCGTGTGTCTGGCAAATTGCGTCCGACTTTGGTCTAAGAAGAATATAGGGTCGGCAAAAACCCAGGGACTGCTTTTATCTGATGATGAGTCCAGAGAAATGCAAAACCGGGTGCGGGCTGCTGAAGTTTCCAGTAACTTTGGGAGTTGCGTGCTCGTTTAAAAAATACAATGCGATATTTCGAATATCGCAGCAAGTGACACATGGAGCGGTCTTGTGCACCACATTAGTTGAAGAAGAACATCAAAGACGAACACAATTCAGCTGGGATTTAGTTGAGTCTCCTGTCAAAACCAAATCAGTGTGTAAGTGGGTGTATCCTGCGAACTAGAATCTTGTTCATTCCAAAGGAGTAGTTTTCATCGCACGAATTACGTGGCGACCTTGACCTCTTCATAAACTTGGTAGGTCGAATAGGGGGATAGTTGTTGGGATTGGCAAACCTCCTCGGAACGGAATGCTCCCCTGAACAGCGTTTACGCTGATGAAAGCCTACGGTAAAAGGATTTGTGCAAAACGATGCAGAATATGTCTAAGACAGTTTGAAAAAAGTTGGAAAGAACAAAATAGTAAGATCGCCAAAGTGAACAACACGGTGAGAATGTTGGTAGTCAATGAAAAAGAAACGAAACGATTCATGCGACAATCCAACAGAAAAAGCCAGGATGCTCAAGTGATTTCACAGCCGGTAGCACACTGGACTGTTATGTTGCAAACAAGTCCACATTATAAAAAACAGTGACCCCCTCGAGGAGGAATGGATGTGATTGGCTTCTTCTTGAGATGGCCTACGTTTCCGAAGGGAGATCACGCACTCTTTTCAGATAGACTATTGGATTCGAGAGACTAGTATAAGAAATTTTTCGTTGTTCAGTTTATGAAATGGTGCCACAAATCTATGCCTTAAGTGACCTACAGGGATGTTGACTTGCATCTCACTGAAGTTTTATATTACATGTTACCTCAAGCTATGATGGTGTCAGCGTCTTCAATCATGTTAGTAGCTAAGGTCTGTTAGACCGAACATCTAATACGTCTGACGCACGCTAAACTATGGAGGAAAAGCGCACACTAAGTGAAGCTTTAGTCGTTCATCTTTGAAATTGATTGTTTTGTGAGACTACCACCGTCTTTGATCTTCCTTCCTGAGAAGATAACGACAGCACCACAGCGATTCGTGTACTTTAAAGGGAGACACCGCTGTGATCACCTGTTCAATTTTCGGAGGCTGTTACTTATATCGATTCCTGAGTGAAGAAATAGATGACACTCATGGGACTGGCGTCGTAGCGTAGCACAGTAAAGCCATGATGGTTCTCAAAAAGTACTAAACTCTCCTAAAGAAACCTACTCACAAGGTTGCTGAAAACTCTTTGACAGCAACCTTGTGAGTAGATTCCTTTATGAAAATATGCTGCGATATCTCGAATATCGTGCCAACTGAAACATGAGGCGGCCTGTGTAAAGCACATTCAGTTGTAGAGTATCATAAACGAGAGATTCAGTTGAGTCTCTCGTAGAAACCGAACTGATTTGCAACTGAGTGTATTTGTCAAGGACTAAACTTTCTTCTTCTTCTGGAACCATAGTTCATGTCTGGACGGAAAAAGCCACTTTAGGGCGAAAACATTGTCCATTGGAACTTTTAATGTGCACCAAAATTCAGCTTATTTCAAACATAACCAGTTTACCAAGAAATGGACCCAACGTGGGTACACTCCTTACTTACCTTATCCAGAACACTAAACTTTCTTCTTCTTCTGGAACCATAGTTCATGTCTGGACGGAAAAAGCCACTTTAGGGCGAAAACATTGTCCATTGGAACTTTTAATGTGCACCAAAATTCAGCTTATTTCAAACATAACCAGTTTACCAAGAAATGGACCCAACGTGGGTACACTCCTTACTTACCTTATCAAGAACGACTGAGACCACACTACGTGTGAAGAATTAAGACTTTCGAATACGACAGGCATAGGAGAGCGATAGTCTTCGGTTCTTCTCTCACTCTCTCTCTCACACACTTTTGAAAAGGCCCGAGGATTGAAACAACAGTCAATTACGTGAAAAATACAAGCAAGCGCATCTTGAATTAACCTGTCGACTCTTAAGAATATCTGGTGACCACATCAGTCACCGTTACCACAGTCGTAACGTTGATATATCTCATGTCCATCCACCGGACGGCGTCATTCGTACTGAATACGATGTGCATAGTCTATAACCTCACAATCCTCAAGTGACAGCCGTATTTGGGTCTCCAGATATTGAATCGATAATGCTATCTACTGGATCATCCACACCAATACTATCGAGACCTCCCATTATGGGCACTGAAGAGCTTATCGCTTTTATGACGGCATTTGCGTTCATTTGAGAAAGGAACTACTGTTGAAGAAAAACAGTACCGGTGACAAAAACGTGACATTGAATTTATGCTAGCAGGGCACCACATAAGTAGTGATGGGGGGAATAACCAAAAGGTGAAAATGTTTTTGTGATAGGAAAAAAAGTTCATATAAACGGAGTGAAGTCTTCCAAAGGCCTATGTAGAAAACAGTCGTCAAGGTATTTACGACGATCTTGTGAAGTGAACGGTACTGTTTGACAGAAAGTTAGGAATTGCAAGGTGCCGGCCTCGAAGGAACATATATGCATTTGATTCGTAACAGATGGGTGTGGCGATGAGCTCTTACTACATGGATGGCAAAAAGTTTTCCAGGATGTGACAACTTGTGCAAAAGAATTTTGGCTGGTAGAACGGAACATTTGATTGCTGAAGTTTGTTCTGAAGAGACAAAATAGACTACTCACTTAAGCATATAAACACTCATTTGCAAATTGAGCTGGTGTTTTGGGGACTCAACTGAATCTCAGCCTATACCATAAACACTGTTACATCATGAAAACCACTGAGTTCCCTTGCTTCGTTCCGAACGAAACTAATCTCACTGGGCGAATTCGATAACTAATTTGTTGTTCTGACAGTGGATTTGTATGCATGAAGAGAAAAAACGGACGCAAGATTAGCTGTGATTTGCGTACATAGGAGTACTCCAGCGATACATCATCTGGCAGGCCAAAAATCTGTTTCTGATAGAGGGGACTGAAGAGGACAATGCCATAGATATGTGCTGACATCGTCAGATGATCGTTGCTTACGGTTCTTTGGAAACAAGACAACACGTGAATAAGGATTATCCGGTCTAGAATGAAACTACTTTAAGGTTGCTGAAAACCCTTTGGGAGAGTTTGGGCTCACACACCACACAGTTCAGTTTAGTCCCTCAAATTAGCGTGCGACCACGTGTTTCGCGGATTATCTGGTCTCTTCTCAGGGATCGTCCCGACGCAAAGCGGTATACCAGCTAGTAGAAAAGTCGCGAAGGACTTTAGAAACGACTGCTTCTCTCAAGTTGGCGTGAGTTTCTTAGGCAGTGGATGTACTGCGTTCGAAGAGGCCAAGACGGTTGCATGATTATTTGTATTAGTTGTCTACTGTCGGCCAGGATCGTCATCGCAAAACCAATCGGGTATCTTATGCTATCGGAGCAGTTGGACCAGGAGAGTATGGACATATCAGAGACAATCCTAGTGTTGACCCCAGCGTAAACTGCTGTCTGCACCGGACACACCATCTGGATAAATCGGTATTGTGTGATGTATACCGGACAGATGACATCACCGCAGTCACGCCATCGGAAGACAAATGTGAGTTCACGCAAAATGCGGTTGCATTCAACAATGACCCCTCTTCTCAGAACAAACACCAAGCGTACAACAAGACTGATATGAAGAGTCATTGTCTAACCACCTATCCAACCCGACCCAGTTGCAACACAACTCACGCGCGAGATGAATAATGTCTTTGGAGCAAACAGATGAGCAGCGTGTTGTTCTTTGCAAATGCGTTTCCTTGACATAATGTTCTCGAGATGGACCTTTGAAATTAATTTGTGATTGTCGTGACTGAGTTTCATAGACTGGTAAGGTTTGTGTGTGTGTGTGTGTGTGTGTGGTAAGTAGATGGAGGCGAATATGCTTTGACTCGGTAAACGGACTGAATGCGCGTGACTCAACACACAACCAGGTAACGGACAAGGCTGGTCCGTGTGCGTAGGAAGACTTAACACCTACCAAGCAGGTGGCAGGCAATAAGCATTACCCACAGTGTTTTTTGATCAGACTTGTTGGAGGAATTTTATTTACGGAGCACCTGGAGATTTCCAACTAAGGCGCATAATCAGAATTTGTGTCAATCAAGTCAAAACGCGCTGTGGGTTGTACTCAAGCCAGGAATTATTCGGTTAGCAGGAGTACCAAGCAGGTGGCAGGCAATAAGCATTACCCACAGTGTTTTTTGATCAGATAACTTGCAAAGGACACGTCCAGACTTGTTGGAGGAATTTTATTTACGGAGCACCTGGAGATTTCCAACTAAGGCGCATAATCAGAATTTGTGTCAATCAAGTCAAAACGCGCTGTGGGTTGTACTCAAGCCAGGAATTATTTGGTTAGCAGGAGTACGACCGAATACAATTTGAGTTTTTCACTGCAGGATGTAATTGTCAATGTCAGTGACAGAGAGATGTAGTCACTCAGTGAGAATTGGTGCACAGTTTGTAATCTGCCGGCAAGCCGATGATCTGGTAATCTCAAGAAAGCTGTGAACATGAACCGATTAGCCAAAGGCTATCGGTTGGTGAAAACGAACGACAACCACCGATACTTTCGATGTGCAGATGCGCAAGAAAGAGGTTGTGCAAGTGGACTTGCTTGTGTACTTCAGTAGCCTAGTAATGCAAGGAAACATACATTCGTTCGTTCAGCTGTAGCACCCTTTCGGTGCCTAACTGCCATGCCACCTGAAGGTTGCACGAGAGCTGGGATACTGCCAGGTTGCCCAAGCTTAGACAGGGGAAGTAGAGAGGCCGAGGTCGGGTTCAAATCACGGACCTTTTGGTGAGTAAATTCGCGCTCTAACCACTTGGGCCATCTCGCCCAAGGAAACAGGGAAGATGAAATTGATAAGGATTACGTAAATTGTGTTGTCACTTAAGGGGATATCCTGATGAGTTTTCTTCTAGGAATAGCCCAAAATGACCCGATTCACATTCATTCGGGATAAGTTACCTCCCTAGAGAGATGCTTCCGGGAGCGGAGCCGCCTGGCTGCTTAGGATGAAAGTTGTTTTTTGTGCAAATACCATCCCACACACAAAACCGTCGTGCTGTCTGCTCGTTTCGAGTGACAGTAATGAAGATCCATGCAAAAACTACTGGGTTGAGCGTCAATATTACCATCAATGTTAGCGCACTAATTTGAGTGCCAAATTTTGATTAGGGCAACCATGATCCAGTTTATGATGACAGCCTATGTAGTTGAGGTTTAGCCCGATGATTCATACGTAGAACTGAATTGGAGTATTATCAAGTTTACCCTACTTGGGACGAATGGACAGAACTCTCGATGTAAGGGCTCGGGAGCATCATGGTTGCTGATTAAGGCCACTAAGTGGACTATTTTTCGAGCTCCACAATCATCGATTACCAGGGACGTTACCGAACCCGGCCACTTCATTGATATCAACTCAGCGTTCTCCATCCTGATGCGATTTTATCGACCGATAACGCTGAGGTTTTATTGCTTATCACCATAGACCATGACTTTTCAATCGGAAATTGTTAGCAGTTGCTTTACGTTCATCCTGAGTGCCTTACACGCAACACCGTGCTAAACTTATGTGCATGATCGCATTTACCTGTGCTGTTTACTGTGTACCTGTGTTGTAACTAACCAAACTATATGAAGTTGTTCTATCTCCCAATTTGAGTGTGTTATCCAGGTGAATAAAGAGCACAAGGTGTTTGAAATCTACAAGGAGGAGATTCTTCACCAAAAGCATTCTGGTTGGTGAGAGACCGCACTTCACGTACATGTGAACCGTAAACAGGATTAGGCGTGCCCTCTCTGAGCCCTTCCGAAAGGTGCATATCCTTGACGAAAAACGTGCCCCTGTTGGAGGCGCTCTGTCTTAGGGAATACATGCATTGAGCGATATTCTTATGGCATTGTCCTCATCGTTGGAGGAGTTGATGAGAAATGATATTAAAGGAAATGCATCGAGGAGCGGTCCTACTGATTTGTCAGAAATGAAACTGCATAATGTTGTCGGGTAGCAAGATAAAAATCTATTTTCCTTGTCATTAAGTGCTTTGTTGAATTGGTTTGTAGACAATAATATTTGCTCCTTGTTAAATAAGACGAAACGGTTGAAAATACTATTTTGCCCATTTGATTGTGACTTTTACAATAGACTACTTTTCCCCTCTTTTAAATCGGTTTATTGCACCATCGATTTCCATCGTTGGGTACACAGGATCATCAGAGAGAATTGTGAACTATACTGGAACCTTGACACAACACACTACTTATGAGGTTGCTGAAAAATCTTCAACAGTCCACTACCGGTTTCGCCCTTCCTGGGCTCATCGGGTTGGGGTAGTCACTGAATTTCCATCAACCTTGTGTTTTACCTGAACAATAAATCGTAATTAAGTGGCGAACAACAGCCATTTTCAAAGTACACTGCCGTTAACAAGAGATCCAACCGAATCTCATAAAATATAATAAACGAGAGATTTAGTGTAGCCTATCATCAACAGCGATGTAATTTTTCCGCTGAGTGTATGTGACCATATACTAAAGTTCGTTGGTGTGCCGAAGTTCACGGTTTCTAGAACTAGATAAACAAGCATTTAATCGACATCTTCCGACAGGTTTCATGAAAACCGAACTTTCACTGCAATCCTATGTAATGCTGATTTGAATGGCGTCTTGAAGCTGCTTGAGCAAAAGGATACGTCTGGTGGGGTTTGTCTCGGCTCCGGTTTTCAATCAGTAGACATGTACGTGAAGCATTGGGTTTCATCAGAAAATAATTTTGGCGATACTCCAATGCAGTACTGTGCATGCATAGTCGACTTAAACGTCGGATACTAGATGATTTCTGTCATCATAAACTGGATCACGGTAGCCCTACTCGAAATTCGGCACTCAGATTAGTGCACTAGCGTTGATAGTAATACTGGCGTTCAACTCGATGGTTATTGAATGGATCTTCGTTAACGTCACTTTGACCGAGTAGACAGCACGACAAATTTGCGTATGGGATGCCGTTTACACATAAAAGTACTATTAAACCTTCTTGGAAGTAGCTCTTTACGGAGGCAGTCTGTGCTTCATGGAGCAAGTAAAGTTGAGATCAAGAATGGGACGGCATCCATGAGGCCATAGCAGATACAACTGGACCAAAACGAGAATAACTTATCGATGGTCATCTTCATTAGAGAGATGAACGTTGTCAACAGTTGAAACGACCCAAAATATGATATATGGTTTAAGAACCAAGCCACTGAAACACCTGTGAAATCCAAAAAATATGAATGTTGGACCAACCGAACTGAAGAGCTACGATTGTATGTGCATCGCCACTGTCACAAAGGATTTCTAACCAGACGGGATGTAATCTATCGGTTGAAAGTCTAATATCTTCGGCTGGTAGAGGACAAACGAACTGGCGGGAAACTTAACAAACAGGAACAAATTTGAGCAGCTTGGAAGCATTAGTTTGCAACACTGGTCAACACTGGGTGTAAAATCGGGCAACTCAGCTATTCTGACCCAATATACAATGGGGACTTCCGTGGGTGGATTGTATACAGCAGCAAAACTGCGGACAGCCATAGACCAGCTACGAAGTGGGAGAGCGGCGAATAGACGGACGACTTGCCTGCGAAACAATTCAGATTAAGAGAGGGAACACCATGCTAGACGAACGTTCCCATCTGCTACGCACAATCTTCTACAAGATTTCAACAAGGCAACAATAATTCGTCTGAATAGAAGAAATGAAACCGACAAATGATGGAAAACTACCGGTGGGATAAAAACCTGGATGCGGTTCTGTGGAAGGCACCCAACCGATTTCGAAATCAATACAGGAGTAAAACAGGGTTGTGTTCTTGTCCCAGTTTGGTTCAGTATCTATCGAACAACCGATTGCGTAGGGACGATCCACCATTGCGAAGGTAGTATGCCACTTCAATATCACTCGCATGGTCACTGAATACGTGGCGTTTTCTGAACAAACACTGCTGCACATGGCCAGTATCCATAATCTGTTGGTTGCACATGATTACACTTCTCTGTATTCTGAACCGAAATGACAGTGATGGACTACGGTCTTTAGTTCACGAGTATCTCGTTTTTTGGTTAAAACACGAATGTTCCTAGAAGTATCCGTACATAGCTATGCTGTTACTCCCTCAAAAATCAAACTCCATGTGAACACACTATAGTTCACGTATAGATGCGGGGTTACACCATCCTACATAGCCTCCATCCCTCTGAAGCAACCGTTCTGACTATTCCTGAAAATGGCAAATGTAGATGAGATTCGTTGTGATAAAGCAGGCTATGCCAATCCGTTTTAGGTTTACCGCACCGGAATGTACTACTCTTAGTTATTAAGTGCCATAATGAACCCGTGAACAGTGACATAATTTAACACCCTGATACAACCAAACAATGTTTAATATGACCGCAACACAGTTTAGCAATAAACTAGCAGTAACAGGTAAGTGATGCCAAATATCTGCAGCATATGGAGCATAACTGCAAGCTTGTTTGGGATAGGTCAAGTAAAGCCCACCAGTTTCGAACCATTTGTGGCAGTCGTTGCTGGAATTAACTCACACGCAGAATTTCACACCACAGTGTTACCAGTTTTTTGAACCTATTTTCATTAGGATACAGGACAAATGTTGTAACTATATTGGCTCAATAGAGAGGAATGCGAGGAGCTTGATGGCATATTTCTCTGTTCTCAAGCAGAATGTGTTCTAACCCATCACTCAGTCATTAACTATGCATATGTAGTATATGGTACCACCAAAAACCTATACTTTAACATTTTGCCATACTAATATCCACCCATGCCGTATAGTAGTTAGCCTAATTACGCCTTAACAACACTCAGAAACATGGGCACTTTAGTAACACGATTTCTGGTCAAGGAGTGCAGCCGATCGATCGGATGTTCTGGGCTGAACAGTGATACAAAAACTTAGATAAACCCGAGGGAAGAATCCTGCCATTGTTTGATAATGCCTATTTTCCTCTACCCACACTGTCATCATAATGGACACTTTATGGTTATCAAAATGAATAGGAAATCATCGAAATGTGTTCGAAAAACGCAGGAGTTGAATAGTTTTGACAAGAATAGCCAAGTTCGTTACCCAAAAGTGCGCGAAGGTGGAGGTTACTGTACGACACCCCAGATCTAGTCTTACAGTACAATCTGGGCGGCACATGATCGTTTAGGGGTGGATCGATCCAGTTTTTTTCCATAAATGCGATTGAATACTGGTAATATTAGTAACTGCACAGAAAACCACACTCATTATTATCTCATCGACGTCCACGTCATTGTGACTGTTTCTTTTCTAGAGATCTCATCAGATGGAGTATCATTCGGTTGAACTAGGCCGCCACCAAGCATTACAAGATCAGTTGGAACCAAGCCACAGGTATGGCCAAACAATTAGGTGTGAATCGATCGATTCACGTGTGCGTAATCAATCGATCCAGCGAATCGGTAGGATGAGGAAACCGGTTGATATATCGTCTTATTCATCTTAGCTATCAAGTGGGGACAGATACCGCAAAGAAAAGCCAGGTGTTCTAACAAGTATAGTCAGACGAGTGTGAATTTGACCAGTAAACAATCGTTTAGCTTTAACACCCTTTCGGCGCCTAACTGCCACGCGGCCAGAAGGAGGCACGAGGGCTGGGATACTGCCAGATTGCCCAAGCCTGGATAGGGGAAGTCCAAAGGCAGAGGTCGGGTTCGAACCACGGGCCTTCCGGTCAGTCGATTCCCGCCCTAACCATTAAGCTATCTCGGCTTAAATAAGTAAAATAAGAAAATCTATGCGGCTCACCCACGGAAGTCCAAGAGGTCGGGTTCGAACCACGGGCCTTCCGGTCAGTCGATTCCCGCCCTAACCATTAAGCTATCTCGGCTTAAATAAGTAAAATAAGAAAATCTATGCGGCTCACCCACAAAGTCACAATCAGCTTCAAGTCAACATAAATACTGTAAGTTTCGATGACCGCGTTTTGCCGAATGAAGCTACTAATCTGTAATGTTAATGATGACGACAGATACGTGAATCACACAATTTGGTGCGAACAACAGACCAAATTCGAACAATCTGTGAAGTGGGAAAGTCGACGAGTCTTTCGTCAACAACACCTTTTAGATGAAAACTACTCACAAGGTTGCTGAAAACTCTTCGTGTGAGTAGTTTCCTTTATGAAAATATACTGCGATATCTCCAATATCGTGTCAACTGAATCATGAGGCGGTCTGTGTGCAGCACATTCTGCTGGAGGACATCATAAACGAGATGTTCGATTGAGTCTCCCGTGAAAAGCAAATTGATTTGCAAATGAGTGTACCTCTGTGACTTTGTGTACCTGAAGACCACTACAGGATAATAAGGAAATTGTGTGTGCTGAAAAAATTTCATACTAAAAATTCCTATGGTGTCAAAGAGGGCATAATGGAAATCAAAAAAGTTTAGATTTTATCCTAGCGTTAAAAATCGAAAAAACGGATTGAGTAGAGGACTTTGTAAAGCTTCAGAAAGTGCTAGTTAGTTCCTATTTGCAGGTGACTACTTATTGAACGCTGAGAATAAAAGCTAGGTCCTAAAATGGACTCCATTTTCTAGGTTTGTAAAATTTGAGAAATTCATTTCCCCCATTAAAAGATTGAGATGTCTTCTAACAGCTGTTGAGAGCGACGACAAAAAATGGTTACGCGCTACACACACCTTATTATCATCGGTTTCAACGCAACAGGAAGGAAAACACAGAGGTGGTGAGCCAAAGAACCTCCAAGGAAATGTGTCAATCTTATCTTCTCAAGTTTGAGTTGTTCTAAACATTGGGTCGCCACAGCGTTTTCCTTGCTATTACAAACTGCCCCATTGGTGGATCACTAAAGGTTGATAATACAACTCACTGGGTGCGAAAAACGATGCGCAATACAATTGGGGATATACAGTCGTTCAAAAACTAATTTGGTGATAAAGAACCGAATTCAGCCAAATCATTTGTTTATGATATCTTTCAACTAAATGTGTTGTACAAAGGCCGCCTCATTTTTCAATTGACACGATATTCGAGATGGCGCAGTAGGTTATCTTGACGGTTGCTGAAAACTCTTCAACAGCCCAAAACCGATTTCCTTCTTAGTGCTCATCAAGTAGCGGGAGCTCCGCAGTTTCTGTCAACTTTATGTCCTACTTGAATCAAAATCGGACGCGATTCGCGAAAAACACTGATCTACAAAGCATATAGGTGTTAAGGTGGGGTCCAACTGAATCCTAAGAGAATCTTTCGCTTATCATATTTTTTAACTGAGTGTGCTGCGAAGAGATCACTCCATGTTTCGGTTGGTACGATAATCTAGATATGACAGTAGAGCGTCTAGAGGGAGCACACTGCTCTGGGAGTTTCCAGCAAACTTATGAGTAATTTGCTCCGTCAAGAAGTGCAGCGTTACCGAGGCTAATCAGAATGCCTTGTTCCCACGTGCAAGGTTTAACCTTACATCAATCGCACGCGTTGTGCTCAACTCCTCACGTAGGTTCTCCCCACACAAATACCACTCCATTATAAAGGCAGATTTTCAATGCTACGAATTCTCCCGCCCTCAACATAAACATTCTGTAAAGACCACTCCCAAGCAAAGAACTTCCAGAAACCGTATATCCATATAACTGATTGAGGTAAATCACCACAAGACAGGTTTACAATTTCTGTTGTATACCCTTCGGAAACAACATATGCCGGCTTGCTTGCGGTTGCTCTCCACAAGACGATAGAACGCATCCTGAAGATTAAACTGTTTACTCCTCCCTCCCCTATTACCTCCCAGCATCACCAACATCAAACGTCCTGTCGGAAATTTGCCAGAGCAACTTCCACGCATGCAATCACATGCACCTAATTTTTTTGAATAATCTTGGGATTTTGACCGGTGTGCGACAAGAGGTGATGGTCGTTGTGGCGTTTGACAAGAGGTGATGGTCGTTGTGCCAAGACAAATAATAAATCGTGGACACAGAGCCCTAGGGAATAAAGCAAGAAAAATGCCCTCATTTGCATACGAATTTGGTTTTGAAAAGGGAGTCAAGTGAATCCAGGCGGACCTTTCGTTTGTGATTGCCTGAATGTCCTGCCGCCTCATGTTTAAGTTGATGCAATGCATTGTCTAGATGTAACGTACTAATCATAAAACTGACGGAATCTCTTTGGCAGCCTACGACCGATTTTGGCTTTCTTGAAGGTCATCAAGTCTCGCTCATAATGATCTTCTATTTTAACCCAAATCGGACGGAATTCAACAACTACACTCGTACCACCAACCTTTGCGTAGTGTGTTACGTTTATACAAGTTAGATGCTCATTTCACAAGGAACTGTTTCCCACTGGAACAAAGGTGGTATTTGTACGAAAGGACGGCTGTGGTAATATCCGGATTCTGGGTTTTCAGTGTCCAATAGTGTAGGCAACTTCCCTGCGGCGGTTTATGTAAGCATAGCTTTTGATAGTTATCCGAGGAGTTGGATTGCGAGGTCACGCCTAAACAGTTGTTTGACCCACGCAATAATGGTTGGTAAAGTTTATCTTTAGGACTCCACTGAGAGGCAGTTGGCCGTTTAATCTCATAGTTTGAGCTACAACGCCCAGCAGCAGTAAGCCAGTTGAAACAGCTTAGTGGGCCACGGACTGGATGTCCCTCGCCTTGGTGTTCCGCTTATCACACTACTTGTACATCCACGAGTAGCACAAGTTGATGAAAAGCTTTTCCACTGAGAGCATGGCAGACGGTTCGCTAGTTTCAGATCCTGTGTTAGGATTGATGATTAGGTGGGATGGGCGGGCTGATCACCGAAGAGCAATCAATAAGTGACTACTTCCAAATGAAATCTAACAGACCATGTGGTCCTCGGACATATGTGTATACATACGGCCATATATATTATATGTATACATACCTAGAATATGATTGAAGTCAGATGGTTTCTCTGCCTGTTGTAAGAATACGGAAGAACGAACAGAATTACGAAGCAAATATTTAGTTGAAGACACCGCCATTTAAATGGCTGTCCTTTACCGAGAGAAGTACCTTAAGATGACAATGCCGAACTTCCCGGTAGGTACAGCTGTTTTTGTTTCGGGTTTACTCAGTCGCCTTTATTACAATTCCATTTATTCATTGGAACGGCTATCATAAAGAATGTCTGCTAGTGAGGACCGACACGGTGGAGGTTGTCCACTAGAATGTGAGGATTACAAATGTATACGGGAGGCGAAAACCTAGATCGTCAATTACACGGATAGGAGAACCAGTCGGCATCAGAAGAAGGTTAAAAGCTTCCACGGGAAATTGAATTTTTCCTGACCAACCGTCGAAGAAAGACGATTCGTATTAGTAATCTGTCGAAAGACAAAGCGCCCTCCTTGCGAAACATATTGTCCACTAAATGTGAGGATTACAAATGTATACGGGAGGCGAAAACCTAGATCGTCAATTACACGGATAGGAGAACCAGTCGGCATCAGAAGAAGGTTAAAAGCTTCCACGGGAAATTGAATTTTTCCTGACCAACCGTCGAAGAAAGACGATTCGTATTAGTAATCTGTCGAAAGACAAAGCGCCCTCCTTGCGAAACATATTTTGTTAGCCTATGGGATGATTGGGTTTTATTGGAAAAAAGGTGCTTATTAAATATGAGTAAGGTGGCATGTTCTCCAACCACTTCATTGGGTTGATTGCACAAAACGATAGAAATGATGGAAAGGAAAACATCTTAATTATCAATTGGGCCGAATACTACGACAATAAACAACTATGATCTCTGTAGAACGGAAGGGAACCCAAAGATTTAACTAGGATAGTGGGTTTGGTGCTCGAAATACGTTTGTTGAACGAAGGTAGTTCACATCTTCAAATTCGAAACCACACAGAATCCATGAGAAATCTTTATACACGAGAGGAATTAAAGCACCATTTAGGCCTTTTACAGTCCAAGTACGCATTCCTAGTTTTATTTCCATGCTTTAGTTGTCCACATTTGCGACACACATTTGCGTGTGCGCACACACTGAGGCGAGAACCCCTGGCCCGGTTCGCAAGACAGGCGACTCAAACCAACATCACGCACGTGGGAAGACAGCACTGAAACCCATGATGCTTACAGATGAGTGTGGACGGACCGGTCGATGGAGGAAATGCAATGTACACTTCGAGTTTGACCATCAATGTTAGTTTTTTGGCAACCACTAGTCCTACGTTGGGACTGCATATAAGTAGCCAAAAAGACGAACCAAAACATCAATAGAAGTTCCAGGACATTAACTCACACGTCCTGCTAGTAGACGTGATAAAATCGATACCTCAGCCCTCAGTGACATGTTCGCATAATTTGGTTGGGTTGTAGTGATAGCCGGTCAACTTCACTTTTATCACGTTCCATGCTGCTCCCTGCACCCAAAATTGCTTAGCAAATCCGACTGATCAACAACGGCAGATGGTTGGCTCCGACCCGAGATTTAGGATAACAAAGTGTCCAGTAAGCGGGCTGAGTACGAGCGTCCCGCCAGAGAAGAGATTTGGGGGACAAATGTGACTTTGCACAGTGGTAACTGCATGCCAGAACGTGCTCAAAAGCACAGGCAGTAACGTCGTCATTAGTGCCACATATATTTGCCAACTGTGGAACGATCAGACAGCAGGGATCGGCAATCAAGTAACTAGTGTCTGCTCCTTTGGATCGGGTGTAAGGTATAGCGAACAAAACGGTGAAGACAGCGGGACTAGTGGTTTGATGTCCGTTGAGCATTGAGCCTCACCCGATGGAGGCAAACACACACAAAACACACAGGTTTTGGTGATTGATTGATTGACTGATTTGCACAGAGGCGGGACTAGTGGTTTGATGTCAGTTGAGCATTGAGCGTCACCCGATGGAGGCAAACACACACAAAGCACACATGTTTTGTTTATTGATAAGACTGACTTGCACAGAGGACGACGGGACACCTTACAGAGGGCTAATCTGAGTAGAAATCAACATTGCCTAGTTAGCTTGAAAGTGGTCCAATATCCAAGCTGACTCAAAGTCAGCAGACCAAAATGTCCCGGTAGGCACCAGATGGTGGTTCGAACGTCATCTCAACGGAAGCCAATATCCTGAATCCATTTGTGTTTTCTGTTGCAAGCGTCGAAATACCGTAATTTGCTTAGAACAAGCCTCTCTGCAAGGAAATCGCCTATTGTAAGAACCTTTTTTATTCGAATTTCCCCCATTCCAATTAGCTTTCAGTTTTGACATCTGTCGAATTCTGTCAGTAATATGACCATAGTCACAACCGTCCTTAGCACTCCAAGGCATTCAGAAAGGATCCGCTAAATACGAAGCTTTTACAGATGATAAGTTTATAGCAGATTTGATGTTGATAATTTCATTTCGACTGGGACTGATTAAAAGGGTGTGGTATGGTTGTTCAAGTTTAAAGTTCGCCAACGAACTAACTTGTGCATACGACGTGTATGAATTCAAGTGATTTTTGTTTCATTCATCATGTGCGTCCAAATTTGCTTGGAGCCCGACAACAAGTAAATAGTGGAAAATTGTTCTCAACACTCCACAGACATCAAGAGACGACATCGTCCTTTGGCGTTGGCGACGGCGTTAGACATACCTAGGTCTCCAAAATCTCACCTCGAGAGACCGCCTGCTCCGTAGCCTAAAATAGTACAAGGCAGTCAAGATATTCAGTAGTGCTGAGACAGGAGAACTGCTCCGCACACCCTCAATCCTAAATTTTGTAATCAGTAGAGACAAACCTAAAGGCGGATTAGTTTACAAGAAGAGAATTATCAGGCTCCGCTCTCGTGATGTCAAACGATCAAAATTGTCCCATCTGGTAATAATGACAATTGTTCGGCTGTGTTGTCCTTTTTGGGCATGGCTGCTATGCCATCCGAGGAGGGCCGATATGCTGTCAGGTTGCCCATGATGCAAGAGGAGCACTCAAGATGCCGGGGATGGGTTTGAACCATGGGCAGTAAGTGAGCACCCTAGCCACTGAGTCACTGAGCTCATTCTATCTGGTGGTTGGAGAAACATATCAAGGGAAACATGGGATTTCAGAACAAGAGCCATTCAATTAGGTATAATGAATGTTTCGGGTGTCAGCAAGCGAGTGTGTTTGGCAAACTTCGGTATGGGAAAATTGACCTTTTAAACAACTAGAAGTAAAAATAAAACTAACACAACCATAGAAACTATTTTCGAGGTGGCAAATTAAAAAAACGGAAACTAAGCATCTGATACGCATCCGCCAGTTAGCACAGATTTATTTTTAGATGACTAAAGGACTTATACTGAAGATGATTGGGAGGTGGATGGGAGTTTAAACTGGGAGACAAGGAAACTAAACAAAAAAAAACGAGAAACTGGGGCTGTCGAAGAATTTTCAGCGACCTTAAGAGTAGCGTGTTACGCTTAAATCAAGGATTGTTCTGAAAACTCGCGGAATCTTCGTGCAATTTCTTCCGAGCTGAAATATTCCGACAGGCATTCCGCAAGGTAGCTACAATTAAGGGGGCTACTATACTTTTGTCATCAAAGTCGAGATCAGCTGATTTCCCTGACGATATCTTCAATCTACCCATCCAAAATAACGAGGATTGGTCTGAACAGGATAATGTAGACACAGAAATACATCAAACAGGTCTCTGTTGATTACAGTTAACCAATGAAGCAACAAGCGCTAGAGACCTACAGAGGCAGAATCACGTTCGGCAACTCGTGATCCAAAGTGTTTACTATGGTGCCGTAAGCGCGCAACATATACGAGCAACTACGGTCACCAGACAGCCTAAACGAGGTCGGGGGTGCTGATGGTGACAGGAGCTCAGCAATGTAAATGCAATCAAGCAGACCCAAAACCGAACGAAACGGTGGCAGACCAATAGACGAGAGTGTGAATACATGGGTACTTACTGTAAAATGTACAACCATTCGATGTGTAACTGCGAGCTGTTTAAATGTGAGAAGCCAGTGATATGGATGTTTTAGGGAAGGTTTTCAGTTCAACTAACTGTTTAACAATTCAGACACGTATTTGACTAGTGAGAAATAGTCATATTTAGTCACATCTCAAATCAAACTCGCCAAATGCTCAAACTGATTCGAGGGGGGCATGGGCAGGAGGAAGCTGTTAACCAAATGATCTAGTGTCCGATTCCCTAAATCCGCCCCAAAAAGACCAAACGAGGGCGTTCATGTGACCCAACCTTTTGAGTCAGATCACATTCCCTCCTCATCACTCATTCCAATGACAATTCTTACGATACATTACGTCACAACATTTACATTGTAAGGACGGATATAGTGAAAAAGAGTTTCTCTGGGTAGTATGATGCTATAAGGTCCTACTTCGTTTCCCATACAGAGCAAAAGCAACATTCATGCGACAGAGAAGAATGGGTGAAGAAAGGGTATGATGGACGAATTGAACTCGCTAGGGTGAGAGTAGACTTTAGACGAACTCTGACCTTTCAAACCCACCCTAACTGCCTCATAGAACTGACGAGTGAAACGGATGCATTCAGGAAATAATTGTAGGAGGGCTAGCGTGGACTACACGCGTGTGAATGAGTTTCAGATCGGATGAAAATCTCGCTCGTGCGGAACGAAATATTGCAGGATTTGTCGGTAGTCGAAATCCACTTTGGACTAAGAAGTCGTTTACAATGACAGAGACCGAATGACGATAAAAAGAGGCATGAACTACAAAATGGTGATATTAGATATTGTATAGCCGGAAAAGATTGAGCAACGGTTAGAATTCTGATGGCAATCAGGCAAATTTCGTATGGTCAGGGGTCGTCGCATACTTCGTCCAAAAGCGGAAGTTTACACGCTTTTCACGACAGGACATGCATTACTTTAGAATAGGCAAACCATTTCTAGAAGAGACTGGAAAGCCTTGCCACTGTGGGAGGAAAAACTACAAAGAAAATACCCTGTGATCAGTTTATATGGAGTGTTTGCGACAGTTTTTGTTACACGATGTATGTATGCACATGTAACTGGAATAAATGTCAGTTATTCAGTAGGGTAAACTTTTGTACAATAGCCATCAGCCTCAATCAACTGGAGAAGTCATGACGTGACGTGAACTCCGTGGTTGAAGAATGAGTGGCGCTATGTCCTCTATAAGTGCAAGTTAATCATACTGCTGCTCAGCTGCTCGTGGCCGAACGGTTGTGTTCGACTATTAAACCGGAGGTCGCGAATCCAAAACATTCTGAAGTTTCGTGAGATACACATCACTGATGATCCACAGTAAGGGCGAGACATCCGTTCAGCCCCTCTGAACTTTTCAGTGTTACCTTTGCCAGCAAATCAGATGACACATAATTGAAATCTATGTTAGGTCTGCATCGTGATGCATATGTATATTGGAACCCTCCCACATATAAGCTTATAGAAAATGAGGTTGCACTTAGGCAAGTCAAAAATAGTTTACTAGCTGGTTGCACGAGCAAAATCAATCACTGGTGGAGACTTAGCCTCGTGGCCGACGGTTGTGTTCGACTATTAAACCGGAGGTCGCGAATCCAAAACATTCTGAAGTTTCGTGAGATACACATCACTGATGATCCACAGTAAGGGCGAGACATCCGTTCAGCCCCTCTGAACTTTTCAGTGTTACCTTTGCCAGCAAATCAGATGACACATAATTGAAATCTATGTTAGGTCTGCATCGTGATGCATATGTATATTGGAACCCTCCCACATATAAGCTTATAGAAAATGAGGTTGCACTTAGGCAAGTCAAAAATAGTTTACTAGCTGGTTGCACGAGCAAAATCAATCACTGGTGGAGACTTAGCCAGGTAGTGTATGATGGGTGGCAGCAGATTAGTTGCATTCAGTGAAAGATGCTTCGTTCCAAAACATGAACGTTACTGTAGAGACAGTTATTCGAAAAAAATGGTTCACAAGTACCAGCAAAGCTAAGATACTATAAACGTACTCTCGATGAATCCCCAATATGTGGAGTTCCTCTGGTGTTTATCCGGCAGGTTGAGTCTAAATTTCATGTCATGCGTTCACAGAACGCATGCAACAATGACCGGGAAGAACATCCTCAAAGAAATATAGAAAATATTTTCGGCTGCATGCGTTATCAAAATCGCTTTTGGCATGTAGCGACTGACAAAGAAAGAGATAGGCGTACTTTGAGCAAGGGTATAGTTAGGCAGGAAGAACTGCCATTTGGAACACCATGCGTCACACCTTACGCATCAATCCTTCTTTGACTATACGTGTCGTTGCGAAACCAGTCGTTTGTGACCTTATAAGACACTTTAGTGATATTTGCGTAGTATGGTACCTAATAGGTACGCACACGTTTAGATAAAATCTACAACCCTTCTGATGGAAACACTGACAGGACCAATCTAAAGCGGGAGCTTCGGATGGAGTAAACAGCGTAGTGTTGTAACCTGTGTCTGTGAACACCACAGACGTACTTCATGACAGTTTGGTAGGATACAGTTTATGTAGCCCTAACTGCCAGTCGGATGCTATGACTCAAGAGTATAACCGGACCAGTCAATGTAGAGAAGTGATCGCAGTTGTACGATTCGAGTTTGGTTATTTTTTACCCAGCTCGCAGAGTTGTCTTGATGTGATAGAATAACCCATGACTGAAAAAGTTTGGGGACGCCTGCTGTAGAAAACCTGTCAAATCGAATAAAGCCGTCGTTAGAAGCCTGTTGCTACCGCAGGATATTATAGTGATAGCGCTTGTGATAGCTGTTCTACGTGCCGGTTGATTGACGAATCCAGGTTGATTCCAAAGAACATAACACTGAGAATAAAAGTACCCATCTTGGTACCGAAAATGGTTCTCGTTTGGTTTTGGTTTTTGAAGCAGAAAGGCACTTAATTACATAGCAATCTCCTCTTTAAAGGAGATACTTCGTGAAATGTTTTCTCGTGTCGGACAGTGTTGGAGAAAGTCGAGGGTGACCAGACCCCCAGATAAACCTAATCTAAACTGGAACAGTCACATGAAGTCGTTGGTGTCTGAATAAGGTCGATTGGGGATGGCATCGTTCTCAACACAGTAATCTCGGAGGGGTGACAACTGCCATGGGGAGTTCAAAGAAGTGCTCTCCATCAACCACGATGCAGTGTGGGATCCCTCCACAGCAAGGATAATGCTCTTTAGAGGTTACAAGCAAACTTGTGCTTTGGGTCTCTTCTGGAAGAACTACTGCCTCAGAAATAAGTGTTTCGTCACCTGTCTAGACATTGACCTGCATGCTACTTTCTGAGCATAGGGACGACTTGTTAGACAACCCGACTGGTACGGTACCTACTATTACAATTCAGAAGTGTGGCCGAGAGTGTGCTTTGATTGCGTATCGAGCGCTTTACATCATTACAGGCGTGTCACACCTAATTTGGCCTGACTCAGGCGAGTTACCGTTCTTAAGAGACATCCTTTAGAGGGGAAGTAAATTCCCTGCAGCGACATCCATCATCCATAACCTGGCGTGTGAGCACCCAAGAGAGGCCTGTACTTCAATAGACGTCAAATACATTTTCCCCATAGAAGCGTTTCTTGAGGCGAATTCCTGTAGCCACATTTAGTGCCGCACCCGGGAACGGAAAACTTAAAAGGGACGCGAAATGAACGTGAAAACTGCAAAGAAATGGGTAAAAATGCGAAGTTGTGGCTTCAGAAGATGTGATAATGATCACCCAAAGATGGAAAGACTTCTGGGAACCACACTAAAAAGCTTCAGTGGGGTTCTACGACTGCATCTGGAAAAATCTGTCGTTTGTTTTAATTAAGGTCGGACGAGGTCACAGTTGCCAACCTATGTTTTACATGTAACTAGGCGAATGATAGGTGAAATACCAAAAATTCTTAGCCCTGTGGGTTGCTTTGCTGAAATTAACGCGCCGACACCATCATTATCATTGACAGCACATCAATCTTCACCATTGATGCTTCACTGTCGTACAACCATAATTTATTTGGAAGCCTTATTGTGAAGAAACAGTGGATCGGGAAGGATCTTAGTGCTAGCCTACCACAGGAATTCCGAGGTATCTACACCCCAAACACTCGTTCGGCCATTCTGGATAGAAACTGACAAGAACGCCACTGACACCTAGTGGTAGCGATATCTTACTGCGTCTGTAGCCATGAAAGGGAGATCACATGGACCCCACCCTGGAAGGCGAGTCGTACCAACAGCACCCATACTTCTTGTGATCGTTTTCATATACAACTTAAAGATAGACCATCACTCTGTTTGTGCCATCCTGAATTGGGCATGGGAAACAGATATTCTTTCCACAAGCGATGATTCGGGATGCGCAACACAAACAAACAACCGAAGCCTTTGGTGCTGGACGCATTCTTCGATTGAAGTTATCGTTGTACAGCCACACATGTTTTCTAATTGCCTCATTGCGGATTCGCCGACGCCAGGTTACACGGTTCTGAGACGATAGTTGTCCAAGACACCACATGTCGACTAACTGTAGGCATCAGGTCTCACCCGTACTTTAGCTTAATACACACGCTCTTTGACATTCAGGAATAGGCCACTTTACTGCTACAGGAGTCTCAACTTGGCCAACGCGACCCGAGCATTACAGATTCTTGCACGGACGTCATCTGTCGGAATCGGAACTAATACGACTTCCGAAATTCGTAACGCGCTCCACAACTTCGAGCCCCTCTCCATGAATTATAAGTGTTGTGTTCAGTGACTGCATGTCCATGAGCACGACCTTACAACGTACCGTTTGAAAGCACATGCCAAAGAATGGAATGACGTTGGCCAGTTCATCCGGCTTCTTATCCTCTTCGAAGGCAAGAACAATATCATCTGCATATTCGTCAACAGCTCTATTTGAATACGAAGGCTGTGGAAACCTTCCAATGTTCGCCTTATTATCTGGTCGAGCACACAATTTAACAGGAATGGAGAGAATATACACTCCCAACGGATGCAACTGTGTACAGAAACTTTTTGGCAGCTCTTAGTATGCTCTCATACGCCTGGAAGTAGGCGAAAGCAAAGAATTTATTATGCTCACGAACTTCCAGGACACTCTTTGTTGGACAAGGAAAGCAGACCGACCAAGTGAGTCGAATTCGCCTTGGAAATCCAAAAATACTGAAATTGTGGGTGGTTTATACGTACGGCATTGTTCTAGCACCTGTAGAGGTTTGGTTAACGCAGTCCCAACCAGGCCGGAACCCCCTTGCTTTTGTCGAGTTAACGCTTCACGGACCACCACAAGGCGATGAAAAACAAGTGACGCCAAGGTTCTCTTTACGACTGGGATCGAGCTAATCCCCATGTAACTACCACACTCACCACGGGCTCTATCACCGATTCTCTCCAGTCGTATAGTGCAGTCTTCTTTTCTCGGATGGAGGCAAGTAGTTCAAACACTGACTGAGTACTTCACCCCCATCTTTGAATGTGGCTGGGAGGCCGTTCGAACCAGGAGTTTGATGGTGCCTAAGGGGACATATGTAATCTTCAACATCCGAGGCCATAGTTGGGTTCTAGTGTTCCTCGAGAATCCAAACGAATGGCAGCAGGTGCCACGAGGATTATTGTTCAAAGTGCCCTTACCCGGAGGTTGAGATATCCTTCCTTACCGAAGCTAATTGCGCCAGTTTGATATCTGATGCTTTCGCTCACTGACAGTCCCCAGGGTCCGGCCGCACTGATCGACAGAAATAATCTCATTGCATTTCCGGTATCCTGTGCCTCTTGCACTTCCTTGACCTTCTGTGTCCACCACGCGGTATATTTCCTTGACAGACTACATTACTCACCAAACTGATTTGCAAATAAGCGCATTTAACCAACTGCGTATAACTTGATGTCCAAGCAGAACATAATATTCAAAAGTAAAGTCGGGGAGTGTGGTCATCCGCTCAAGAAGGACTAAAGTGACCATGGGCTGCTGAAGGGCTTTTACTAACCTTATAAGTAGGATGATCATTCCCTATTCTGTTAGAAGTACATCGCCGAAGGCAACAGGTGTTCACTTGTAGTAACCTAAAGGTGTGTGCGGTGGAGATTGATAGCAATCCCCCTAGCGGGTCAATTAAGTCAACGAGCCGTCTCAAATAAGGTGACTCCAGAAAGAGTATTCACACTATCTTCACATGAATGCTGCAACACGAACTTCATTGACACGAAATAACCATCGTATACAAGTCGCAGCACGTATAATTCACACTCGTGTGTACCCTGCAGATGGAGACCCTTCTGAAGGAAGATCACTTGCACAAAAGGTACCCAGGCAACCATGAAACAGGGGCTACCCGCCGAAGATAAATCGACTTAACAGAAGCTCAAATAATTTCCTGTTCTTGGGAGGATCCCTTTTAAAGAAATGCTGATGCAGAAAAAAGTCCTCACGTGTAGACTGAGGATTCTTGACAATTTCATGGTTTAGAAAGAACATTCTAACGTTATTTACTCATACGTTTCCGCCCAGTAATTAGGTCAAGAGAAATCTGGGTTTCGCAAAAGATATTCCAGTAAAATTCGTGAGATTGTCAATGATAATTCTGGAGTGCCTTGATATAGAGTTGACTATGAACATATGTCAAGTGAAGATACCCTGAGACGCACTCCACCAGGTTTCATTCCCGAGTCTGAATGCTTCTTGGGGCACCTTAATCTGAGATATTTAACGAGACATTGGGATTCCTACTGAACCATGAATAGTTCGAAATAAATTCGGTGATTCTAGTATCAGAAAATTCATATTTGAAATGTCACTCATTAAGAAACCTGAGAAATAGCACTGTCACCCATTTGGTCTCCACCAATTTTAGTGAGTAGTGTGAGGGTATCTTGGAGATTTCGTCCAGTAAATAAAGCCAATAGATGACGAAAAGCCTAGGAGCGCTGTGTGGACGTTTCACTTTTATTGGAAATCGTCAGCATCACATGGAACTCCAAGGAGTGTCGAATCCGCGACCAACCGGTCCACAGTTGAACACAACCGTTCGGCCACGAGCGCCTGGGCAGCAGTGTGAGTAACTCGCAGTTACAGAGTATATAGCGCCACTCATTCTTCAAATCAGGGAATCCAAAGCGTGGGGTCACGTGTTGATTGAGTGGCTTCTCGAGTGACGACTTCTCAGACGAATGGCTCACCCGTAGCGTGAATTATTTTTCCCTTTAAGCTACTTGTTGTTTGTTGATAGTTTGAGGAGATCTGAGAATGCTCAATGGAACCTAGCTAGGCCATTTTGTTCAACCCGGATATCAGCAGCATTTGGCAGCCACGTGTCGTTCAGTGTACTCTGAAGTGCATACATAACAGACGAATGCGTTCGAAAGAAACGTGTTGATTGGCTTCTCGAGTGACGACTTCTCAGACCAATGGCTCACCCGTAGCGTGAATTATTTTTCCCTTTAAGCTACTTGTTGTTTGTTGATAGTTTGAGGAGATCTGAGAATGCTCAATGGAACCTAGCTAGGCCATTTTGTTCAACCCGGATATCAGCAGCATTTGGCAGCCACGTGTCGTTCACTGTACTCTGAAGTGCATACATAACAGACGACGAATGCGTTCGAAAGAAGCCAAGTCGAAGATACAAGGGACTTTCCACCGTTTTATAACACACTGATGACAAGTGTCATGAAGTAAAGACGCCTGGCACCGATTAAATCAAACAAAGCGGACGATTAAGGAGGACCAGAATAGGTCACATTAAGAACGAGAATGAACCAAACCCACTTGGCCTCGTAGCCGTGAAATAGGGGACAATATTTCTCGTGCGGACAACACAGGACATGGTCCCCTTTGTAGGATTTGTGTACAGTGATTCGCAAGTGCCCACTAACGGGAAGTTGCAAACTGAATACGGCTGGTTCAAAAACGATTGACCAATGGTATTTCTGTTCGGCATCAGATAGGTGACATCTGGCCGACGAGCACCTCATGAGTACGATCCAATAGACCCATATAAAGTTACTAAGGCTCACCGTACACAACGTGTCTTTACTACCATCAGTTAAGCCGCTAAAAGTACATCAATTTAACGACGCAGATTTCACAATAGACAAACTGTGGGACCAGAGATGTCGGTGCGCAGCCGGTTTTAGACACAGACGGGCCCACTAGAGGTGTGGGTATCCAAGCCGTAGTCATTTTTTCTCAAGCCCGTTCTCAGCCCGGCAACCAGCTGTCGCTATCGTGTGAGTGTCTGAGATGTAACTTGGCTACTAGTTCACCTTGGGATGGCTGATGTGGCTAAGTGCACGATCTGCCGAATTTAGAGCGGTTCAGCTGATCCAGATCTTGGATGCCTCAGCTGTCGATCTGACCTGCTCGGTCACCTGAGTCCATCAGTAGGCTGTGTAACACTAAGTAGGTTTGATATAAAATAGTGTATATTAATCAGGGAGCGAACTTGAATAGGATGTAGTCAGGTGTCACCCTAAGACTCAATCGTTGCCTTAAAAATTGGAGGGAAAGAGGAAATTGCTGCTGAGGAATCTCAAACTGAAGAGACGAATGAAAACGTATTCTAGTCACAAGGTACGCTTCTGTCACTGTGCTAACAGCCTCCACAACCTGAAAGGCTTTTCAGATATGCTCTAGAAGCAGGGCCACTAGGGTGTGCAGTCTAGTTTAACACATTTCCAAGTGCATAGGATTTGAACAGGGAATATAAAATTATGGCCTCTATAGTGTACTTCGAAGAAGAGAGGAATGGAGTCACTGAATCGAACATGAAATGGAGTAGAGAGGCCGTATCATCTCGATAAGTACAGCTCACTGGATAGAAAAGCCATTCCATCTACATAACCTCCATAGTTATATCATTTAAGGTCATCCAATATCTTTCCCGCGTATTCTGCTGTTGGGAACAAGCCTATCCAGCAGATAAGTCAGTCATATTCATACAACTATCCACAGCAGTCTCCACTTGGATTGCGTCCCTTTCCTTAGTATTTCCAAAGTAGAAGATTACAGAGTGGAAGAAGGTAACAGTTTTACAATCGAAAAGGCAGTTCCGATGATTAAAAATCAGAATTTGGCATCTATAGTACTAACCTCCCTTCCCCCAAGGAGGAACAGGTTAGTAAGGACGGGTTTTTGCTTTCTAGTGTCTTTTTCCTGAGTTTGTCGGTTATTGGCAATGTTTTGGAAGTGCTTATTTGATTAGATTACAAAAGATAGTATGGGTCGTAAGCCACTTCTGAGAGGTTGTGGTCCTTGTTGAGATTGATCATTGTTAGGGGGTCAGTCGGTCTAACCTCATACTCGCTGTTTGGTTTGAAAATACAGTTAGCTAATAACTTTGACGACGTACGTCGCTTAAACAACTGCGAGGGGGTACTACCTACCTAGCTCCAGTAGGTTTAGATTGTGTGAAACTCAGTTAAGGTGTGCACCTCCAAACAGGTATGCCTACCCACTTCACCTGTATTTGATGAATCAGTTGCGATAAACTGAAATGGGTCAACAAAAGATGTACTCTGTCCAAGAGGTGACAGCATGACGCAACACGCAAATTTGTCCATTATTTATTTTCCGACCGATGTTACGCTAATCATATGCACACACACACACAGCCACGTTGCTATGACGCAGGTTCTGCCATACAACTCGACAAAGTATCCTAACAACAGTAATGGGGTCAGTGTTGCTTGTGCTCACAAGTTCCAGTAATGGTGCCATCATTTGTTGGTCGGATTTACAAACAGAATGTGAAACACGTCTTACGCAACCGAAACCAGAACGTTCTAGACGCGGACTGGTTCACACAACCGGGTAACCTATACACAGGGTAGTCATAGCAACTGCACTGCCAGCAAACAACCCATTACGTAACCAAAACACAGAATATCGCACAGCAAAAACGCGGACTTTTGAACCGAATGCTGGCAACTGTTCGAGTAAACACCAAGCCGTTTAAGTGAAATCGATAAGATCCGTAGCAGCAGTAAACTGTGACAAGAACGCCTACAATGTTGGATCAAAACAGTGGATTGAGCTATTAACACCCGGAGAAGGAAAGCGTTTATCCACGAAATGATGGACGGCTTCATACGGGACGTGCATGCCCACGATAAACAGGTCATTTATTTGAAATGTGGCTGGTCGAGGTTCTGGAGTTAGAGTTTCTTTAAAGTCTTTATTTTTGAAACATGTGTACAGATTACCAGGATGTGGGCCGGTAACCAACCGGTAACGGTGCCAATGTGGGAATCGAAACCGGGTCGGAAATGGTTTTAGCGATTTGGTCCACTCGGCCATTCAGGCCATTCATGGTCACTCAGCAGTGACTGTGGGCTTTACTGCAATTGTGGCTATAGATAAGCGCTATCCAGAAAGACACTCGAGTAAAGTAACATTCTTCGGAGTCATTAGGATAATAAAAAAAACCAAAATTTACAGAAATACTATAGATTATTCTTGGATATTCAACCTTATGTGCCTGTGGTGTTGAGCGGATAACTTCATACTCTGGACCATCCTGTTTAAAAAATCGATAAAAATAAAATTAAACAATCGTTCAACTGTAACACGCTTTTGGTGCCTAGGTGCAATGACACCCAAATGGAGTACGAGGGATGAGATACTGTCAAGTTGCCCAAACCTAGACAGAAGCAGTCGAGATACTGAGGTTGGGTTCGAACCACGGACTTTCCGGTCAATAATGAAACTTAAATGAGATTTGGACCAGATAAACTTCAAGATACCTTCATAAGAGATCCCGGGAACCGATTTTCTACACTTATTTCTGAGTGTGACGTGCACGGCACATGATAAGCTTTTAACAGTACACTACTGTGTTCTTCGTCAGTGGATGAAAACTTTCTTGAGAGGTGGTTCACTACTCTTAAGAATGTTAGTACAATGCACATAACCAGATGCTCTTCCTGTATCCAACGTCCCCCTCTATTCTGACCACATACCTACGCACACCCCCAAGTTAAGGCTATCTCTGTCCAATACAATCGTATTTGTTTGATTGTTTTTAATTAGTAAGAGAGAACGAGTGCTGTATTATGAAAAATCCTACGTAGCAAAGGTCGCAATGAATTAGAAACTTAGTGTACGTGTTCCCAACGGTTTTACGGACGCTGTTGGCAGGTATTTAGCTCTTAAGGTGCATTGATCTGGGCAGTTTGGGTCGGTTCGGGTCAGGTTTGGACGAGATAAAGGTTAATTAATTTGCTCCCTTTAGGCCAGTGGTTGACAACCAGAGAGAATCGGTCCCAATGGAAGAGGTCAAAGTTCCCACCAGAGAATATAGGTTAGAGGTTTACAAACTCGAATAATCACAATACCGTAAATCACCAATAAGGAACCCGGGAGCAAAAACCCCCTTCGAACTTGAGAATATCCTCTGTATTCCCAATTAGTTTACGCCCCCATTAGAGTCAAGGTTAATCCAGTGATGTGGACAAGGGATAGCAACTCAGGTCCAGTGAGGAAGGAATCCGCTCCTTAATGGATATAACGTCTCCGCGCGGATGTAAATTCCCATCCAATGTAAGTATTCACTTGGTTCGCCTCGTGTGCTTTTAGTGAAATAACTCTGAATTTAAAAAAAACTGACGTAATATCGCGGTTCGCTCACACAAGTGGACTTCTGTTTGATGGCATGGGAGTGTGGGCGAGAAAATACCACGAAGCAGAGCTACGAAGATGATTTTTTTAAATGTCTAATATGATAATGTAATGATGCCTGGGGCACTCATCAGTTAGACAGAACGCACCACTTTCACGGACGGAACACGAGTGCATGGGGCATTGGGCCACAGAGTTAGGCTAAGAACATGACGGTGATTGTTGGATTTACAGACGATTAGGTGCGAAGATTTTGACGACGCACCCTCGAGTGATAGGCGATGATCATCAGCCAATATCTTCAGCTCTCTTGGTGCAAAAAGGTTAGAAATTGGGTTCTTTTGATTGATAGAGAATAAGCAACACTTTGCAACTACAGGAATAATCATACATCTATGCTCTTCTCCATGTTATTTACCCCGGTAATTGCGATTTCTGGGGAAATGATGCGCTGTGTTGAAACCATAGGTCCAAGTCAGAGGACTTGGCTTAGGCTTTCGATCCGCAGTCTTCCTACTTGCACCACCCGGTCTTGCAATCGTGACAAAAAACTGCTGTAACCAGATTGTGCCAGTTTACATGCTTGCTTAAAACGTCTATCGAAGCAGTAAAAATCGGCTCATTTTGACTGAGTGCTTATGTAAGAGTGCCAGTGTTGAAAATGCTTTCCATAAACTAGTAGGCAAAGCTGCCACAATCTCCTCTATACAGTGTGCGAAACTCTATTAAAGTCATAAGTTTATTTTGATTTTCTCCGCTGCGAATACATCCAGAACAGACACATTTGCCACGGTAGACAACTCGCCACATTTTCGCTCGATTTCGGATTTGTACACGAGAATTCCCGAGAGATCGTGTCGCGTGCGTACAGTGCGAAGGCCATGAAAGTCCCTTAACCAATCCAATCGATATTTTCCCTGAGGTGCCCACGGATTCAACAAATGATGCCCCAAGGTCACAGTTTCTGTGTTCTTGATAAAGATTGCCACTTACTGATGATTTATGCTTTCAACATGAAGAAAACGCAATGAAGAATGGCAAGCGAATCGCCATTGTCTGTGCTGGATAAAGCAATTATACTCGCTGATAACAATACGAGAATGAGTAATGCTTTGTCGCAACGAAATTGCTTGATCGATTAATTTGGCGAATGACTTCCTGGGCAGTATCCCTGAGCAGGTTGTCAGGAGAACTAGGGACTTATCATGAAATCTATAGACGACGCAAACTCTAGTGTACTGGAGAACGTAGATATCCAGAAGACGAGTAACTTGGATACAAAAGAGGTCCCTCAAATTGCATATAAAGTTGGGCACATCCAGCAAGTGCTCCGCGGGCTCGAAACATTCAGATGTTAGGGAACCCACTTTAGCTGGCCAGAATACGCAAGGGACACAGTACAGTCAGCAAACTGTCATATCTCATGAAATCACTAGTGAAAGCTGGCGATGCTCCGTGATGATGAAATGGGTGAAAAACATAATTCCGATGGCTGGTTTTGCTGCTGGCAGTCGAAGTTAAAATGGAGAATCCTTTATGGTCTCTGTGGTAGGCATACATCATACTGTTGAACCGGACGGAAAACATCAAGACCCCTATAGACTAACTTTCCATGTCATTGCGAGAAGCAGGTGAGAAACAGGACACTCTGGTATAGCAAGGCCTCCAGCCATACTGCTCGGTTTACGAGATCATTGTTCCCCTCAAGAGTGGGTGATCTCCAAAGGGTTCTACGGACAGGTACAAAGATAGACCCGCAGGAATTCATGTGGGGTAGATGACAAGGCCTGTACCCAGCTGAAAAAGGCTTGCCGATACCATGGGTAGATTGAAGTTGTGCATCTGGATATGCGATGAAATCTGAAGGAAAAACTGCTGGAATGTTTAGTGAGAAATGTGAAAGATTGCTACCATTTACTGGTGAATAACAAAGAACGTCACATATTGCCATTGGTTTGGGCTGGTCTTATTAGCGTTTCGCACCCTTCCAAAATACTACATGGCGTTTCAAGAATTCCGTACATACCAAATCTAGAATGATCCCGAATTCCGTAAACAGATGCCTCGGATACCTGCTGACGGTTCGAACGCTTCAGGCTCAGTGACATTCGATGGAATCAAGAAAACTGTTTGCCACGTTTCAACTACTGTGTCAAACTCGAGAAAGCGCCTCACATTGTCACTGATGGATTCGAAATCTACCAACACAGCTCTACCCACCTGCACACAAGTGCTGAGACTTCAGGATCACTCAATCGAACTTTGGTAGTTACACACCTTATTTTACCCGCAAATTTGGTGCGCACGAGCCAATTAGATTGGGGGCTTACAAACTCATACGCAACGAAGTTGTAAGGAACAAAAGGAAGGGGAAATAAATTCAAGCCCATCAATACATTAAGACCCACTCTGGGTCCGCGAAGCGCAAGGGCGTCTAATAAAGAGACCGCCCTGAAGGGGCGTCGCCTACTTCAAGAGTAAAGAGGAGCGTTCCGACACTTAGAGGAGTAACCAACCCGAAGAGGCCTGATGAGGACCTCTGCGAAAAAGGATACCTTCCCTGAAGAATTCATATTTGCGTTTGGCTTCAGCTCCAAACTAGTGGTTGAACCCCCAAGAGGGGTCACATGCCATCTTTCCCCGCGGTAGTCTCCGTTAGAGGTGTTCCACTCTGCACACAGCTGCCGTTGCTGGTTACTGAAACCATCGCATAGATTGAACCACGGTGTACTTGTAAAACGGTCCAATTTTTAAGTTATCTAGTTGTTGCAGAATAAATTAATCTATTATTGAACCATAATGTACGCACCATTAGCCAAAAACCAACACAAACTTTCAACCGTCGACGGGCACAGGAAGGTGGCTTGCACGTTCCCGGATGGATCAAAACACATAATCGCTTAACTTTCGTGGGCACTTCACTGAAGGTCTTCTTCAACCTCGTCACGCCAAGCAGCTTGCCGTGAACCACACCGACCTTAAGAGATCATTCGAACCCAGGTTATCATGTCATACCATCAAACTGTAATTTATCAGGTGAGATCATCGGCCATATACCGAACCAACACAGTACAAAGAATCATCGGAATTAAATGCCGTGTTAATCGATCCTCGGTGTAAGTATTCGGTTTGTTGCTGAAGTAATACGACGCTTACTGAGTGCACTAGCCATATATATGCCGTAGACACTGGATGGACCAGTTTGCATGTTTCGGCGAACCAGTGTTCACGAAGGAAAATGTGAAGCAACTGCAAGACACTCAGCCTGAATCGATTCAACTCAGAACAGGAGTTAGCCAGGGAAACTCCATTATTCGTCAAAAACTGCAATAGGCCTGCTGCGACCAGGTCACAGAAACGCATGTACCTGGGAACTGCCAGAACAATCTCTTCATATGTTTCGGTCGATCGTTTCAAACCAAGGTTTTGCACCCTTCCGAGGCGGTGATATCCACCTGCACTTTTAGGATTAAGACCCCCTATAGAAAGACAAGCTAATTCGATGTGAAGCAACGCCGTAGTCACGCACTATCGGGAGTGACAGCTGCAGTGTTGAATCTTTCAAGTTTATGTATTCGGTTATACAGGAGTCCTCGCTATTTCCGCCCCCGGACCATGCATATATATATATATATATATATATATATATATATATAT